ACCGTGCTGCTGCAGTGGTCAGGCCATGCGCCAGTACAAGCCGAGACATTCTAGGATAAATTGGCAGTAGGCTCTCTGAGAAGTTTTCCTCCATTTATTTTATTATGTAGTGAGTGATACAGCAAAATCCCCTGTCTTAAAAGGATATAAAGTAACCATAAGCATTTGCTGAAAATTTATATCATTTGAATGCCAGCCTGAAGAAATGGAAGCTGGAACAAAAAAATTAATAAAGTAACAAGATAAATCAACATTCTGACACATTTTTAAACACTTTAAATGTGTACATAAACTTCATTAAAATGGTCAACAAACCATTTACCTGATAGGTAGCATAGCAAATAAAATTAAATCTTTAAAACTCCCCAGTAGAGAAGGAAGAGACTGAAGGAATTTTGACATGGTCATCAGCTTGTAGGATGAAAACAATTCATTGATATCTATTCCACGTGTTAGCCTCTGGCCCTTAGGGAGGCAATATGACTTTTCAACTTGAAGAAAACATGATTTAAAAAAAAAAAAAGTACTTGAAAAATTTCCTCAGAAAATCTGCTTTATGCTGGCAGTATTAAGTCATGGGCATAGCTCTGTGACTTGGGACTCTTGGAGCACTGAGCAAAAACTTGAAACTGGGCTGCTGAGTCCCTGGTGACAGAGGCAGTGTAATGTTACAGGAATGCTCATGTTTTTTGACACAGGGAACACTTCAGCAGTTGATCCCTGCTCATTTTCTCTCCCCATTCTTCTTTCCTTTGGAGAAATATCATTTATTTAATTAGAATAAATGGGCTATGCTAAGTATTTAAACCAAATCTGGGATGTAGCAATATTTGGATGTGCCCTCAACCACAAACTCAGCATGCCCGTGCCTCTACAATGTTGACTTTGGACTCTTGAGAACCCAAGCACAACTGGGGAACTTGGGGCAGGACAACTGGATAAGACGAAGAAATCTGTGGGCCAAGGAACTTGACCAGACATTGTGTTCCAAAAGGCAGCTCTGTACACAAAGAATAAGGGGAGCAATAGTTTATGCAAGTGGCTCTACACAAAACAGATGGTTAGATTTCAACAGAGCAAAGGACTGATGTGTAGTTACAGCAGAGGCACCCTCAGAAGAATGAGATCCCAAAACTGATACGTTTAATCCTATGATATCCTACAAGACTTAAACTTCGGAAGCCAATTTGAGTGTTTCACTATGGTAATTGACAAACAATGTTTCCTCACAGAAATATGACCTGTTTCTAAAAACAGTTTCTGGGGTTTTTAACACAGGATCACCGGTCAGATGTTGCCTCTTGTGGTTTTGTTTGTGGGTTTTTTGGTTTTCTTTAATTTTCACATAAATATAAAAGAAGAATACAGTCAACCTAAAAGTTTTCAGATTTTTTCTATGAAATGTTTCCCACCTTCAGGCAATCTTCCTGCCCTAGGAGGAATCTTTTTCTTTATAATATAGACATTATCTCTTGACTAGATGCACTGTTCTTGTTTTCACAATCTTGAGAATCAAAATGTCCCTTAGGTACAGAGGAGGAAAAGTAAACTAGCGAGCTGTAAAGAATAAAAATTAGAGGTAAAACTTTGGCTTCTAGTGACAGGAGTGATGAGATTTTTCATTTTGTCAAATTTATATCAAACTCAAGAATCATGCTTTTTGGAAACAGAATAGAACTCATATTGAGTCTAAATTTCTTTTTGCTTCTGGTAAAGTGCAAGTTCTAGACTGTAGCAGGTTTTTTTGTTTTGTTTTGCTATAATTTTATTCCCCTGGTAATCCCAGAAGCAGGACAAGAATTAATTTCAAACAAGGATCTTTATTGTTTGCATAGCCCAATACTCTGTTTAATTAGGAAAACATGTTAGCTGTTTTTTTAATTTAACTTTCTTTTAGAAAATGATGGTTCAAATTAAGGGGAAAAATGTTTTTTCAAAACTCAACAGTTTGGTGAAACCTTAAACTGCTTTTCTTATGTTGTCTAAAGAACTGAAAAAAAATATAAATGCCACCAGTTGGGGTGTTTTTTACAGAATCAAAGACCTAAATCAGTCATTGATTATGGTCAATTGAGCCCAGACAAGTACCAGAGGATGAATTTTCTAATCACACCATCATGTTAATATATGTATTTATTTAATCCATTGTGTATGAATTGTTTCTGAACATGCAGGTCAACAGCTATTAGTCACCAATATTTCACTTACAGCTCAGGCTTCCATACTGCAATGAGCAGTGTGTGGATTCTCACTAAAGAAGACAAACAAATATTGAGCAAGGAAGAAAGGGTTAGTCAGCTTTCTTTGAGAAATAAGAATGCAAATTAAAGTGGAGATAATCTAGAAATTTAGTTCACAGCCCTAAAAGAGAGGATGTGTTCAAAAACACCAAAGATTCAGCCAGAGCTTTGGTCTCACAAGAAACTTAGCATTCACTGGAGGAAGGATATTGCAAGATGCATTTACACATGATCTATGTTGCCACTTGTTGCAGAGCACTGGAAAGTCTCCTACTGGGAGGAAAAAAGCTCTGATACATCTGAATAATCTTGAACTTTAACAGAAATTATCTGATTGAAAAATTCAGCCTAGAACTCTTTATTTCCTAGTGGTCTTTTAAAACATTGTCTTCCAATCATGATGAAATAACTGCAATTCGTTAGCAGCATTTTAACAGAAGAACCAATGAAATTTTTCACCAATACCTGTGCTAATTGCACCTTTTCCAGCTGTGAGGCACTGACAACAAAGGGAGAGGTATCCATAGGTTTAAACTGTCTTTTGCCTTTTGATGATCATAGAAAATATTCTCTTAGCATTTAGGAAGAAAAAAAAAACTGACAATAACTGTTATGTGGGCACACAAAATCTCTGTATTTTTACAAGGACATAAATGTCAAGTAAAACTCAGCTACATACTCACCTGATATACAGAACTCAGTCAAAGCCAAAAAAATTATCAAGTAGGGCAGAAAATTATGTAGCTCTGAGTGCTGTCCTTAGGAAACATCTCCCATTTTATCATATCACCTCATTCTAGAATTTGATTTTCATATTGTCCAACATGTTTTACATCCCAGAAAGAAATTGTCTAAAGTGGGTGTAATCTACCACAATCCAAAGTCTAAATTGTCCCATTTGCCACATTAGAAGGACCAAAAACTTCTGTAAGTGATAGTGTGTTTAATCCATTCTATTTCTATGCTGTTTTTCAAGAATATTATATTTAATAAATGGAACTGGAATAAAATAAAGCAAATCTTGAAAGATATACAGCACAATCAATATGATGCAGATTTTGAAAATGTGCAATTTACCATATCTAGTGATTCACTAAGCATAAATCTTTTATACTTGAAAGTCAAGTATTCTAGAGATGAAATCTCAAGTCTGTTGAAGAGAGTGGGAGTTTCCTCCTTGATTTCTATGGGCTGCATTTTACTCTAGGCACACTTTCTCTTCTGAAAGCACAATTTACATGGAATTATTTGAGTGGACAAATTGTATAAAAGCAGATTCATTGTCTGTTTCTATCTTAAGACATGTACCACATACTGTAAACCTGAGATGGTACCAAAGAAACACTAATTTGAATGAAAGAATTTCTTGTCTTGAAAGGGTCAGTGACACAAAATCAAATCTTCTATTCATACATGTTTACGATATTCAGGAATTGGATCATGTAGATGACTTCACCAAATAATGTACTTGAAAATACATAGTTTATTTCAGAAATGAAAATAAGCCACCTTCTATGAGAATATTTTATCAGGAGGAATACTTAGCAACTTTATTTGAAAAATATCCTAGAAATAGTTGAATAACTTTTTTTGGTTATATCTGACAATAATTCTCACTGAAATATTTCTGAATTCTCTATTCTAGCTTCTTCAACTAGAGAAATAAATGTAAAGGTGATAATCTTTAAAAAATTTACTTATTGTATGTATCTAAAATTTGTTTGCATAAGTGTTTAACCAGACAGGCTGGAGGCACAGTTTTTGAAGAGTCAATATTAGGCCCTGGCTCAGCTGGGGGGCTTAAATACATGCTTTCTGCAAAAAATGCGAGATAAGCATGCCTGAAAAATAAGAGTATTGCTGTCAGCATCAGTTCTTGCATTTCAAGTTAGATGTATTCCCAGACTTGTTAAAACCTGAGTTTTATGGTTAACTGTTCAAAACCCAATGTTTGAAGGATGAACATGAAGAACACCACTTTGTTGCTTTCAACTTCTCTGAGCAATCTGTGAATTCCTTCATGAGCTTTCCTTTCTTTGGTGACCTGAGATGACTTGAATTAACTGTGATGCACTATGTGGAAAACATTGTCTCCAATCTGTCCTTCCCCACTTCTCACTTTTAATTTATTGGCCACCCACCCCTCTTTTTTCTTTTTGTTCTTGTCCAAATTTTCCTATTTCCAGCATATGTTTTAAGATTAAAAAACTCTTGTTTGGCAGACACTATAAATGCTGTACCTCAACAGATGTTTTTAGTGTCAGTGCAAGAAGCGGCCACACGCTGATGCGGTTCTGCTTGGCACCATTTCTTGTCTGGAGAGACTGACACTGCATGAATATATTCATTTTACTGCTGAGTTCTTTTTTGTCATTTTTTTTTCCTCCTTTCCATTCTCATGACACTGTGGTAAATTTGGTGTTTCTGTGACTTGTTCCCTCTTTGCATATGACTTTGTTTTAAAAGTCATCCAAGTCTTGTTTTTGAAGACACCAATTGACCTGAATTTACCTTTGAGCACTTCTCCCTTTCCTTTAACCATGTTACCAGGAATATGTTTTCAGGTTAACTTGTATCCTTTACCAACTGTTTTCATGTGTCTCAATATCACTATTTCTCTCCAAAATGTATTGCTATGCAGGCACATGTATCAAAATAGTTAGGGCCTCAGTAAGTACAATCCGCAAGTTCAACAGGTTTTTTTATTTACTCAGCTGGTCATGTTCTCGTATGAAGGAGGTTTTTTTCAAGCTGTATTTGAAACAGGGGACAGGTTATGTAAGGGCATAATAAAAATATGGCTTTTGTGAAGGCACAAGCATGATCCAACAGAGACTCTCTTTCTAAATCTCCTTCCGTCTCCTAATCTGAATGGATTTTTCTGGCTTCTGATGACAGGGGAGGTTCTTCTGTGCAAATTCATGCCAGGTAACAGCTGAAAATGAGAACTGGAAAAGTGGACAAGAGAAAAAAAATGTGAAGCTAAACATTATGAATTTACAGTGCTTGCTGACCATAAAAATCTCTTCTGGCTAAGTGTTAGCAAATGGTGCCATATGAGACACCACAACATTTCCCTCAGCTTGCGAAAGGCCATAATTGTGGTGCTCCAGATAATCTCATATGGTAACTGCTTATAAAAATTGACCCTTTAATGACAAATCTCTGCCCCAGATATTTTCTTTATTGCACCTTTATACAAAAAGTAAAGCATAAGTTACAAGAAAAACAAAGAAAAAACAAGTGATGGGGCACTTGATTTTCAAAGTACAGGAATATCTGTCACATCCACATCCTCCCTGTGAGAATCCCTGATGACCAGCTCTCCAGAGTTCAGAAAAGGCTTTTCCAGCTGACTCTATCAGCTAGCAACAGTGCTCTGCTATCTCCTCTACTACTAATCTGTTGCCTTTTCAACACTCACAGGAGGAATATACTCCTTTGAAGAATATACCTTTTGAATTCTTTTGAAGAATATAAAACTTTGAAAAAACAGAACTGGTGTGTAAACCCACTTAAACCATGAGGGTAAGGGTGTTGCGACCAGTGATGTCCACTTCCAAGTTAGAAGCTTTAACTGCTAAGCTACTGCTCAAAACAGAGAACTGTAGTACTGGGCTTGTTTAAAGAATGAGCCTTGCTAAGAGATGCATGGATCCTTTCAAAGTCAGCATCCAAAAGTGGAGTACTCTTGTACTCCAGAGTTCACCTTCATTGCCTTTCCTTTTTGTGAACCATCTCCTGGAGCTGCTTATCTCCTCCCAGATAATGGATGTGAGCTGCCTGCTGGGCTTGGGCCCTTATACAGATGCTTTTGTACCAATGTCATCCCTTTGGAGCTCTTCCCACAAGCCAGCACATGAGGCTGCTCCACAATGGCTTTGGAGGAAATGATGCTGCTGTTTGGAAGGAGCAGTGTAGGGAGAAACTCCAAGAGGCAGCCCCACTGCTCATTTTGCTTTTCACTTTCTATAGATTCCTACTGGACTCCCTGGGCCTTCATCCTCTCTCGGTTTTGTACAAGTAGCTGAAGATGTTAATTCACAAGCTGGGGGAGATGGAGCTCAGCCTGACCTTAGACAGCACTCAGTGGAGGATCATACCTCTCCTGCAGCTGGCACAAACACACAAGCCTTTAGTGTCAAAGGTACATGCCTCATTCTTCCAGCTGCTTTTGTCGCAAACAAATATTTATTTTGGAGAAAGCAGGGGAAATCCAATTCTCTAGTTGTGGTTTCGATTCTTTTTGTCTGCAGCATGTTCTGCTAGGGAAGTGATGCACAGCGGTTTCTTTTTCAAATTTGCTTCTGGCTCAGCAAGAAGGTGGGTGGCAGGGCAGTTGGAAGTCATCAAGCACAAGCAAAAAATGTTTAGTAACCTTTTGTATAACTCTGCCCTCCAACCACTGCAATGGCTTCCTTTCTCTGTTCTTACTGGGGGACAGATCCTGGGAGGTCCTGAGTAACTTTGAATTTATCTGAGAAATTCCAGGTCTTGAATTTAATATTCTAAACATAGCACAGAAAAGCATCACAAAATCTTTCTTATCCATGATGCAAAAATGGAGACAGCCATAAAACTGGGGTTAAAGTGAAGCAACTTTCCTAAGGGCACTGGAAGAAGGCAAACAACAGGACATTTAACACAAGCAAGTCACAATAGCTCCCTCATGCTAAGAGTCAAATCCTGAACTCCTGGGCATCACTTGAGTAGATAGGATCTTTATGAAATATTTATACCCAGGATGTAGCAGGTGTCAGATTTTTCACACCCCAGTAGCAAGCATTGCTGCCTTATTGCCACCAATTAAGGAACTGTCAGCATGAAAGGCATGTTCAGAAAAAAAATTGCCTCTAGATCCCAGTAGTTGCAACTGGTTACTTGCTAATGAGTAACAGTGATGATTACTGATATTTATTGATGTGGTAGACTTTGAAAGCAAGAAGTGAAGTTTAGCATCCCTGGCTAATGCTTTCCCAAAAGCAGTATGATGACCCATTCAATGTGCTAATAGTTCTGTTAGCATTTTTGACACACAGATTTTGGAAAGAAGAAGAGGCAACTTACCAGCAAATGTATGTAGTGCACAAATACAGTCATGACATAGATGAAAGTAGGGAAAATATCTGCTTTTTGACAATGTAATTTTTCTTTCTACATTATTTTCCCTTCCACTCTTTTTTTCTAGAAGAAAAAGTTATTTTTTCTCTTTCTTTATGTCCACTGCAAGCAGAAAATCTATATGCGTACTTTGAAGAAAATGTCCTACTTTTAAATAAATAAACAAATAAATTAAATAAATACTTTTAAATAAGCTGTTCTCCTATTTCATAGTGATGGCACACATGTATATTGATACAACATGAGCCTAGAGGAAGGCTGCATATTTACCCCAGAGAGGTAATTGAAGTTCTTCATACTAATAAAAATTGTAAGAACACTGCCAAGGGCAGCACCATTCCCGGACACTTCTAGATGGCCAAGGATTTCATGAAATTGAAAAGAGCACCACATGAATGCTCACCAGAGGACAGGGAAGGTGAAATTTTTCAGCATAACCACCCACTTAGCTGAGGCACTCGTGGCATTCGCTCCAATCCTGGGTGCAGTCCTGGCTGCAGTTGCAAAGCAGGCCATGACAGCCTCTCATCTATAGGAATAGTCTGCACACAAAGATGACAACACCCCCAGATTGTTAAGCTGCTGACAGAAAGAGCCTCAGAAAATACCTGGAATTTCTTATCCTGTCAGAAATAAGAAGAGAAACAAGAAATAAGGTAGAGCTTTACTAACATTCAAACTGTGGAGGAAAGATTAATAATTGACAAAATTTAAGTTTCTGACTGAGATGGAACTCTGAGCCAGAAATAACGATAGCTCTTGAAAGAAACATCCCAGGAAGAATGGATATGATAGAAAAAGATTCTCTTACCCTTCCAAAGGACACAATATTCAATAATAAAAACATCTTTGACAAATATGTCAGTGAGGAAGTTGCTGCAGGTTCACAGAGAGGATGTAAGTAAGTGTTATTAGCACCAGTTTCAAGTCTCATGGAGGAGAAAAGTCCTTAAGGAATGGAATCAATTTCATCAACCATTTCAGAAATTTGAAGGCCAAGAGCCAGAAATCCATCTGAACGACATAAAGTATACTGCTCATTTTGTAAACATATTTTCCCTTAACATGGCCCAGAAGATTAAAAAAAATAAAATAAAAAACTTACTCAATTAATCAATTATGAAAAGGCACACTAGTCTTTTCAATAACATCCAGGGTTTGATTTATTCCTGGAGAAAGATAAAAGATAACAAAACAGAAGCAGAACATATCAAGCTGGTGTCTGAAATAAGTATAAGTATTCATCCTGACACACTCCACATATTTCTAGGAACAAAATTCAGGCAAGTATCACTAAGGGCCAAGGATTCCTGTTCTTCTGCTCTCTCTGAAGCCTGTCAAAGGACCCAGCAGCAATGCAGAAAGGCATTGTCTCTGCTGAAGAATGAGCTCCAGCTTCCAACAGACATTCTGCCCACCCATGGTTGCTTGCATTCATTGCCTCTCATAAAATGCACTTTTTATTCAGAGGAGAAACAAAGGAACTTCTGCTGGTACTGAAATCTTGGTTTGGATCTCAGGGCTAATGAGGGAAATGTGCTCTTAACACCTCAAGTTCATACAGTTGGTGCAGGAGATAGATGCCCAAAGGGTTGAGGACACTGGGTGTCAGTGATGAAGGGCCTGGGTTTGTGTCATGTCCCAGAAATCGTGACAACACAAAAATTGTTTCCAACCACTCAGCACTACCAATAAGGATTGTGTTACTCATGGTGGACTTGCTACTGCGACAAGAGTGACCCAGTCAACCTGTTAGGACCCAGAGATCTCCTGGGGTAAAGGCATAGAACATGGAATGTACCTTTTTTCTTTGAATTCTTTTCCTGGCAGATTTAACTGGTGCTTTGATTCTGGGGTTAACAGACAAAAAAATAAGCAAGAGTACAACAAATTTTTTCAGGGTGTAGGAACATCTTCTCAGGCCCTACCAAATTTTGGTGGATGAAATCTGTTGAAGTAGATGACACAATCTGAACAAGCATATGTGGGTTCTGAAGACGCAAACAAGGTCAAAGCAGACCACCTGGCAGAGATGTTTCTGAAGATTAGGCTCTCCCATCCTGTAAGGCTGAGGCTTGAAAAGTGGACACTTCAGCAAAATTTGCTTTATCTTCACTTCAGCATATTTTGCTTTAAAATATGTCTTTATCCTAAACAAGAAAGGCATCTTGCACACCAATAAGTGGAAGCCAGAAGGAATTCTGACACTTTCTTGAGAAGGTCCAAATAAAAAATGGAGAACTGAGATAAACACGCAGAAGCTGTACACAGCTCCTCAGGGAAAATGAAGTAAAGAATAGTTCAGGGTTTACCAAAAGAAGTCTAACCCATAATCACACACTGAAAGCTGTCAAAAAGCAAACTCCAGCACCTTTGTGTCACTGAGAAGGGAAACATTTTGAGACTTCTCATTATACATATGTGGATAAATCACAAAGCTCACATGTCAATGTGCTAAAGGAATAAAATATGTGGTGTCAAGTGACAGGGTTTATTCATATGCTCTGTGTGAATGTATATGTTGATTAACACTTAAAGCCAGCAGATATTCATACATCTATTCTTATAAAGACCATACTTTCTGAATAAATACATTTTTTTAAAATCTCTACTAGTGGAACTTGCAATTCTTTACAAAGGTGTAACAAAAATCAGATTTGGCTTTAATCCTCAAACAGACAAGAGAAATTTTAATATTCATCCTATGAAAAGAGCAAACAATGGCTTTGTAAATTCTAAGAGTCTTAGTTTTTATTACTGTGACTTGGAAACCTAATGTTTTTTTAATTATGTGATGTTGCAGGTCATGATCTCCTAAATATTGAAG